AGGCAATAAACTCATACACATAAAATAAAAATAATAGATAAAATATTTTTTTAAATTAGTTTGTTCAAAAAGGGGGAGACAATCTTCTCATTGAGAGTTCCCAGGCCCTGGAGCTGAGGATAGAAGTGGAACAGCCACTTGTCTATCACACGAAGTTCATTCCCTGGGGAAGATTTTGTTTCCTGCTAGCAGTGTGTTTTTTAATGACTAGGGAAAAAAAAATACCATCTCATCTGAAAACAAGGTGAATTACTGAAACCATGGGATTCCTTCGGTTGCTTAATACCTGAGGTTTCCAAAACTGATCGAATTCATTAAGAAGAAATGCATGGGCCAGCATGACATTTCCAAGTCAAGGGCCAGGCATGGCCCACTCAGAATTTACTACAAATATTTTGGGAATAAAAGCCAAAACAATAACTATGATTTTCTTATAAATAATGCTTGTTGAAAGACTCAGACTTAATGGCCAAAATGTTTTGGTTCCAGTAAGATGAGTGGGAGGACTTGCCAGCACTTTGTAAGACAACTGCCCTGTGTGCAAGGCCATTTCTGTGCACTACGTTTTTATTTTTAATGACTAAATATGAATATGGAAACATAATGAACAGAGGAAGAATGAATGAGCATCCAAACCAGAACTGCTCTTTGTTTTCTGCACTAAATCACAAAATTTACAAAATTCTAGGGCAACAAAGTGTCAAAGGTAAAAATTTCCCTAAAGAGCAAGTCAATAAATCTTCCATCTCCTGACTGGAAGAAGCCAGCAACCTTTGTCTCCAGGTCCTTTATTTAGTTCTGTAACTCATAATGAAGCCCACTTGCCTCAAGATGCTGAATGACAGTACAGCTGTGTTCCCTCAACAGGGCTGGCTCCTAAGAGCCACCAGACTGATAGCCAACTGATAACCAACTGATACTGTATAACTCATGAGGTTCCGATCACCAGCTGATGTAATCCCATTGCTGGCCTCTAAGGAATGGTAACTGGCTTTCTAAACAAATGTGAATAGTCTGAGAATCATCTCTATAGTCTGCACATAGGCAATACTGTTTAGGAATGCAGGCAATTAAGGCCTTGTCTCAAAGGCTGAATTGTTCATTTCTCACATCGCCCCCATCCACACTGGGGCTGAGAAGATGAAGTATGTATAAGAACTCTCCCATTCTGTTTTCCTTTCAGTGTCAAGCGATAAGGATTTGAGTCCTGCCCCTCTATTTACTAGTGTAGAAATTTGGTCATATTTTTTTCAGTTTTCTTAGGTGTGAGGATTAAATGAAGTCAAGTTCATAAATAGCTTATACTAGTATAGACATCTAGTGTCCAACAAATGTATGCAGGAGATGCAGGGCTTCTACGTATTTCAAGAAATCCTCAAACCAAAGGCTGTTATTCCTGAACAGGCAACAGAGGGGGATGAAGGATGTTTGGAAAATAAAACCTGAACGGGTTGAACTCACTTGTCCAACTCATGGTATGATCACATTTTCGCTCCATTCTCTAGGGTCTGGGGTCTCCAGTGTTTTCCTGATATGGAGCTATTTATGATACAATGCCATCTCTAAAATCTTCTGACCTATGTGAGATCCTGATGCTCCAGGTAATGAGGGATTTGGAAGTAAGAGAAAGCCAACTGATAGGAGCTGATACCGTGTAACTCAGTTCCTATTTCTAGCTAAAGCACCTTTCTATTTTAACCTATCGCTTTCACTAGCAAATTACAATTAGACTTTTAGGTCTGGAAGACATCTTTTATTATTATCAAATCCAATGTGTGTGCAGGTAGATAGATGATAGATAGATAGATGATTGATAGATGATAGATAGATAGATAGATGATAGATAGATAGTTATGAGAAACTGAGACACTAGTTATTTGTTCTATATCTCTGAACAATATTGAATAGATATTTTGGAGGGCTAAAATCTACTTTCTGGCCCAGTTCTTTCATTCATATTTTTGTACAACAAATACTTCTTAGATTCTTTTTTAAAAAAATATTCTATTTAGCTGGGCATGGTGGCGCACGCCTTTAACCCCAGCACTCAAGAGGCAGAGGCAAGCAGATCTCTGTGAGTTCGAGGCCAGCCTGGTCTCCATAGTGAATCCAGGCCAGCTAGGGCTACAGGGAGACCCTGTCTCAAAAGGACCAAAAAAAAATTCTATTTATTATTTTTATTCTATATGTATGAATATATTGCCTGTATGTATGTGAGTGCACCCGTGTCATGCAATGCCATGGAGGTCAGAAGAGGGCTTCAGATTCCCCTGGAACTGGAGTTAAGGACAATAAGTAGCCAGCATGTGACTGCTGGGAATCGAACCCGGGTCCTCTGCAAGAGCAGTCAGTGCTCTTAACCACTGAGCCATCTCTCCAGCCCCAACCTCTTAGATTCTTAAGATGCACAAAGTATTAAGAACAAGTTAAGAGGCAAATAAAATATTGTCTCAGCTTTATGACAGTCAGGTTTCTGTTGATGAGATAATCAACTCAAAGGAAGAAGGATTCGTTTTGGCTCAGTTTGGGGGTGGGGGCATCCCATAGTCGAGTGACCCTTTGCTGTTGGGCCTGTGGTGAGGCAGTATGCCATATGGAAAGCCCAAGGTGTAGCAAGATTACTCACTTAATAGTCCCTAGGAAGGAGAAGGGAAGGGAGAAAGGGTAAAGAGAGAGCAACCAGACTCCCAATAGCCTCTTCACACCCCTAAATGATCTAACTTCCTTTCACTAGGCCCTACGTCCTAAATGCCAGCCCTTTCTTGGTAGTGCCGTAGACTGTTAACTAAGATTTTAGCGTTATAGTCTTTAGCGGACACTGAAGTCTAAAGTATAACACAGCTCTCAAGAATCTTTTAGTCTTATAGGTGAATTCTGTTAGCAAACTGCATGTGATATTAGATCTTCTCAGTGCTTGGAAGTTGAGTGGGAAGATGTCAAAGTGATTATGGCACTCTACTCATAACTTTTCCTGTTCAGGAAGATGTACTGTGTATCCCCACTGACCTGGGCTGCAGCAAAACATACAACAGTAGATTTCAGTCCTCCAAAGGGGATAAAGCTCATCACAAACACAGTAGAAATTGCCCCACTCCATGCTATAGGAGTGTTGTAGACAGCATAGGACATTGGAATTTAGAACAGACAACTGAGGAGATGAAAATGGCTTTGGACTTTGAAGAGAACAATCAAAATAGAGTAGTATGTGCTCAGAATTGATTTCATGAAAGCATGAAAGTAATCTTCATTCCCCTTCCAAATTTCGTTGCTTCTTCTGATGTGATGGCTGTTCTTGGGAATTCTTTTTTTAGAATCTATGAGGGAGATTCTAACTATGATGGAATTATGGCGTATTTTCCAACAAATGTCTTCTTTTTATTGTGATTCCTAATTTATCCTTCCTCATGAATTCCTTCCACATGTAAATGAATTTTCAGGATTATTCACCTTCATCCTTTTTAGCATCCCATTCTATTTGATATTCATCATCCTAATTCTCATAAAGCTTATGATGAAGTATTTAAAAATAGATCTTATTTCATGTTTTGTTATTTTACAGATACAATTCAATATGTGTCTTTTAAGTTAAAACGGGTTATATCATGTAATTACTTAAATATTTTCCAATTATACATATGTGAATGTGTGCATATAATTTTTAAGATAAGCATTAAATACTACCAAGTAAGTGAATTATGAAAAAACAGATTAACATTAGATTCCCAGACTTTATTATCTAAATTTAGATGAACTGGGTTTTTTTCCAAATTAAATATGAAATCATTAGTTCAAAATGATTAGAATAAAAATGATGGAATACAATGTTTAAATAGCTATAATACATTGAATTTCCTAGGAATCTTTGAATGTTTATTTAAGAATGGCCAAAAATTGAAATAAGAGATAATAAAATACCAAAAATATTCTGTGAAACCATACTTCTAAATACTCATAAAATTCCCTATTGTCTACATTATTTATGAAAAAAAAACACATTACTTTCCAAGAAAGGGACGTGGCTTCCACAAACCCCTCAAGTATTTCCCTTGTAGGAAATAAACCAGATGGTCCCAACACACAAAAGTTTACTTGGGAAAAATTCAGAAATACAGGATAACTTTATTAGCTGCTTTGCATGACCACTGTTAATTCCCAGTTTTCTTCTTGATGAAGGGTGATAATCAATGACTACTAAAAAAATAATAAAACAAAAAACTAGTTGCAAGCAGCAGCAAGTGGTGATGTGATACCCAGAGGTTAGTTTCAGGTTCTGCAATAGAAAGCCAGGTATTTAGGGGTAGAGGGTGGGAGTAGACTTGATTTTCACTCTCTATATGTGCTTGGAGAATTTTGTATTTAGACTCTTCTAAAATTACTTTTTTGTTATTGAAGTACTTAAATTTTTTTTTTAATTTCCAGACTATGATTTTTATCACTAGAAGTTCAACTTGCTGTTTTACATTTTCTGTAGTGAAGAAGCAAAATGAACTCCATTTTGTTCCAGCTAACTTGTGCTTTACCCTGTGTTTTTGCCCGGCCATTCCCACCTCAGCCAGCCAGGCAGAACATCTCATGCAGGCAGTTTCAGGGAGTACACTGTTTCTAAGATACTGGGAAACTTACTAATAGCCAGGTAACATGTCCAGATAGCACATCCTCCCTCCCAGCTGTACCTGCATCTCCATGGAGCCCATTGTTTCTACAATTCTGAGAAACATGTTTTTTTTCCTAATCGAAACTTTTTCTTAACTGAAACCACCTTTGTTAACTGACCTGCCCCTGGTCTGGTGTAATTATGGTGATTTGATGTAACTATGGTTGTTGGTTTTGCCCTTGGCATGATGTAATTGTGATTTTAAGCTTTATAAACCCTGCCCTGCTTCTCCTTGGGGTTGAGAGTTCTTTTGGGAATTAGCCCCCTCTCTGACCACCTGTTACTAATAAAGGACTCCTGATCTGTCCACAAGCTACATAGCATTTCTCGCTTGGTATTGCTTTAGGGAACAGGTGAAGGTACATTGGGCCTACAGAAGAGTAATAGAAAAATGACGGAAAACCTCTTGGTGCCTGAGAACGGGGAAGGTCCAACATCAAGGCCTGGGTGCCCAGGATTATGTGAGTCAAGACCACAGCTGGCCATCAAGGAAGATGGGAAGTTCACTCTACAGAACCAGTCCTCCCAAGACTGGAATCTTCAAATTACAGAAACCTCCACTGTCCCCAGGATGAGGCCAACACTGAGCAAAGTCATTGCCCTGCACAACATGGGACTTGAGGATAGGGAAGGGATAGTGGGGAGTGCAGTCACTCAGAGGAGACTGAAACTGCTGCCCAACACTGGGAAGTCCTCTATCTTCCAATCTACTCCACCATCAGCTAGCTGCCAGAGGAATGTGGAACTATCGTTCTCAGTTGGGAACCATAACTCCAGGCTCATGGGAGAGGACCACAGCTTTAGCTCACAGGAGGCAACCACAATTCTTGCTCAGAGGAGAGAACCACAGCTCCAGGTTCATAGGACAAAACCACAGCTCCAGCTCACAGGAGGGGACTAGGACTCTGGCTCAAAGGAGGGAACCACAGCTCCAGGCTCACGGGAGAAACACAGCTACAGGCTCAAGGGAGAGGACTACAGATCCAGGTTCATAGGAGACAGCCACAGAGCCAGGCTCATCAGAAACACCACAACCTCAGGCCCAGAGAGGCAACAGCAGTTCTAGGCTCCCCGGAGGGATCACGATTCCAACTACACTGGTTCCTACCATTTTCTTCTCTCCATCGCTCTGTCCACGTGATTATACTTATCTTTAAGGAAGAGCGTTTAGCTTCTGTGCAAAAAACAGAGGCAATAGTTTCTTGCTGGCTTGAATTACCACTAGAGGAACATGAATATTGGAGAAAACCACTTTTTCCTTTTGCTCAAGGAGATGGATGGATGAGTGTTCTCGTCTTCATGGGCAAGGATCCACTTGCTTTTATGGAAGATTTCACATCTTCCTCCATGGCCTGGGACCAGTGTTGAGACATCTTTTTACTGGAGTCACGTTTTGCCGAGGCTGCTGCCACTGCCGTCATTACTCTGGCGCCTGCAGTCCCGCGGCCATCTTGCTTCACCAGTTTGCTTTCTTAATTGCCAAGTCCTTTCTCACCTGTGCTTGATGATTGGCCCTTGTCCTCCTTGGGGTTGCTCACCCTGGTGGTGAAAGCTGGGCTGTCCACTGGTGCACAGTGCAGTCTCCACCCACAGGCCAGGCCTGGTCAGCCAGGAACATGGGAGCGCAACTTGGGAAAGCCTTCACAGTTGCGGCCTGGTTGTGCTGCCATCTGGCCTGGACTACTAGAGGGGCAGCCAGGGCCCAGATACCAGACCAATCCCATCACTGCCACTAAGCTCAAGTGACTGCAACCTCTCAAATGAACCCCAGAAGTCTGATTTTATCTCTTGCACTATATCTGTTCATTAAAATTATTTTTATGTGTATGAGTGAATTGCTTGTATGTGTGTAAGTAAAATACAATGTCTGTGGCGGTCAGAAGAGGGTGTCAGATTCCCCTGGAATTGGAGCTACAGATGATTGTTAGCTACCACATGGGTAATAGAACCCTTGGTCCTCTGTAAGAGCAGCCAGTGCTCTTAACCACAGAGCCATCTCTCCAGCCCCGCTACTCCTAAGTTTTGTCTTTTCTAGAACTTCTATCAATGAAACTATCTAATAGACACTGTTTTTCTCCTCTGGGTTCTTTCACTCAGCTGGTTTGGTTTTGAGACTTGTCTATGCTGTTCCAATATGTGGGGACTTTTTCACAGTTCATTTATTCATTCACATGTTGATGGCCGTAGACTATTTCAGTTTAGGACTATTATAAATATAACCGATGCCACAGTTAATCTATCATTTTGTTATTTGTCTTTAAATTTTTTATTTCTCTTTTATTCTTTTCTTGCCTTTTTCACATTAATAAAATACATCTCAGTATTACTTTTATTTCCTTTATTGGATGATTATCCTTTCATTGGCTGTACTGGAGATAGGACCAAGGGCAATCACCTTACCACTAAGTCACATATATTCCAGAGTGTTTATGTGTCTGTAAGCTTCTTTGTTCAGATGAGCCCTTCCTATGTTGCCCAGACTGGCCTTCAACTTGTGACCTTCCTGCCTCAGCCTCCTACATGCTGGGATTAGAGATGTAAACCACTATGCCTTGCTTCTGAGTTCTTACCTAGATGTTTTATTATTGTTGAAGTGGGCACTGTAGCACAAACAATAAGCATATTTATGAAACACCAGACTCCAGTATTGACACTTTAGTCCTCATACGTTCCCATTTGCCAACTTATTTTTTTTATTTTTATTTTTATTTTTTTGTCTTTTTGAGACAGGGTCTCCCTGTAGCCCCAGCTGACCTGGAACTCACTATATAGACCAGGCTGACCTCAAACTCACAGAGATCCATGTGCCTCTGCCTCCCAAGTGCTGGGTCTACAGGTGAGCACCACCACGCCCGGCCCAGTAAAAGACAGAATAACAAAGATCAGTCAAATGTGGTATTGTCCTCTTGTAACTATTATGTGTGTGACTTTCTTTTACTTTTATATAGCTATCATTTCCAATTTGTAATATCATTACTTTTCTTTGACATGGTGACTTTTATATTTATTCATTCCTTACTATAGGTTGGAATTCTATCACCCCCCTTTAGACTGAAGAATATCCTTAGGTATTTATCATATAGATGTTCACCATAAGATTTTTAAAAGGATATTTCTAAAACCCAACAAAATCTTGGCGGGAATCTTCTTTTCTTTTCAGCACTTCAAAGGTACCATTCCAGCATCATCTGAGGAGGAGAACTTGGCTATTATATGACTGGTTGTTCTATGCTTAGTGGCTCTTTCCCTCTCTGCTTTTACATTTCTTCTTCATTTGACTTTAAACATTAGGTGGGCTTTTGTTTTTTCCCCTTTATATTAATTCTTCTTGTATTTTGAATATAAATCAATGTTTTTAATCATATTCAGGAAACTTTCTGCTGCTATGTCTTCAGATGTGTGTGTGTGTGTGTGTGTGTGTGTGTGTGTGTGTGTGTGTGTGAGACCTTTGCTTTGATTTCTTTTTTCATTTTACTGTGTGTGGTGTGCATGTGTGTGTACACGTTTGCATTTATGTGGGCACACACGGGAGTGTGGGTGTGCACCTGTGTGCATATGCATGTGGAGGCCAGAGGCTGTGGTTAGGAATTATCCTCAATTGCTCTTCCACCTTATTCACAGAGACAGGGTCTTGCAATAAAACCCAGAGATCCCCCATATGATTAGTCTTGTTAGGCAGCTTGCTCTGGGGATCCTGGCTCTGCCTTCCCAGGTTGGAATTACAGGAGGCTGCCATACCCACCAGGCATTTTTGAAGGTTCTGAGGATCCAAACTCTGGTCCTCAGACTTGGGTGGCAAGCACTGTAAACATTTATCTGCCTCCCTAGTCCCTATCTTTACTTTTAAAAACTATTACCTGTTCATTAAACCATTATTGTCCCACAGGGCCTCAGGCTCTGTTCATCTTTCTTCTATTGTTTGTTTTTCAGATTGGAAATTTTCCTTTTCCCTGGTTTTCAGATTAGGAAGCTTCTCTTTGATTCCTTTTGCCTGTTCTTCAAACCAGATGATTCTGGATCTTTCTTCAAGATCAGTAGCTCTTCTGTATGATATGTAATTTTCTGTGAAGCCCATTCAGTGAATTTGAATTTTTAGTTGCAATTATTTTTTTCATTCTAGGATTTCTGTTTGGTTTTTTGCTACAATTTTTGTCCTCTTAAACACTATATCTCCTTGTTCAGTAAGATCTTTTTTCCCTTTAGTTATTTGAACATATTTTCTTAATTCTTTTAACATATTATAATGATTTTCTCTACTAAAACTAACATGTGAGTACACTTAGGTTTGGTTCATATTAATGGCTTTATCAAATATGGAATTTCGATGCAGGCTTACTAATACAAAGCTTTGAAGAATTCATTGTAGAGACACAACATTCTGTTATTTTTCATTTGAAAATTATTGATTTTTTTTGTCTTCAACAACCACTTAATTAACAAGATTTTTGGTGGATTTGGTTTAATACACGTCCTAGTTTGCTTTCTATGCCTGTGATAAAACACTTTGACCAAAAACAACTTGGGGAGGAAAGGGTTCATTGCATTTTACACTTCCAAATGACAGGCCATCACCGAGGGAAGTCAGGACAGGAACTCAGGGCGGAACCCGGAGGCAGGAACTGAAGCATAGACTATGGCGGGGCTCTGCTTTCTGCTTTGCTTCCCCTGGCTTGCTCAACTACTTTTCTTATACAGCCCATGCCCACTTTCCCAGGCATGATGCTGCTCACAGTGGTCTGGACCCTCCTCATCAACCAACAATCAAGAAAATGCCCCTGCAGACAGACACAGGTCAATCTGATGGCGAAATTCCTCAACTGAGTTTCTTTATTCCCACATGTCTCTAGTTTGTGTCAAGTTGACAAAAACTAACCATCAAAATAGTTACCATGGATCTATGAAAAGTCTAACGTGTTTTCCAAATATGTTGCTTGGTCATATTTATTTCTAGGGTAGAAAGACCCTCTTGCCTTAGACTTCTTTTTTTCACAACATAAGTAAATGTTTTATTACACTTTAGTATACATGGGTTTTATATTTCTGATTAGGAATCAAGTTTAAAAGAAATGCTATAACAAAGAGAAAAAAGTTTATTACACAAAAATGGAATTATTAAAAAAAGTCATTATTTCAATTTTCTATTGTTACCTACCTGGAAATTATATGTATGTGTGGGTATGTGTGTGGTGTATGCACATATTGTGTGTACATGTGCACACATCCATATGCACAAGCAGAGGCCAGAGGAAGACATCTGGTGTCCTATCCTGTTTCAATCTCATTTCCTTAGGACAGGGTCTCTCACTGAACCTGGAGCTAGGCTGGCAGCCAGCAGTCTGTTCCTCACAGCACTGGGGTTACAGGAACATGTGTGTTTCACCTGGATTTAAAAAGAAATATTTTTATTGATTCTTTGAGAATTTTACCCAATGTATTTTAATCGTATTCAGATCCCCATCTCTATCCTTACCCTTCTACCCCCCAAACTTCATATTCTCTATTATTTTTTCTTTTTTGAAGGCCTATCAAGTCTAATTTGTGTTCTTTTCATGCTTTTGGGTATGGGCTCATCCTTTGAGTCTTATCAACCTACCAGATATCACACCCTAATGAAAACTGACTCTGCCTCTCCCAGCAACTATCAATTGTCAATAGATCCTCAGCTAGGGCTGGGGCTTCTTGCCCACCTCTACCCTCTGTGGTGGTTTTTGTCTGGCTTGGACTTGTATAGCGCTATAGATTAATATGAGCAGCTGCCTGTGGAGTCCAAACAGCCTGGTTTCCTTGTGTTTACCACCTCTAGCCCTTAGAATCTTTCTGACCCCTCTTCTGCAATGATCCCAGTGCTGGATAGCTTCATTGTCAACACACATGGAGAGAGGGAACCTCAATTGGGGAATTTCCTCTATTGGGTTGGTGTGTGGCCATATCTATGAGGCATTTTCTTGATTGTTGAGTGATGTGGAAGGGCTCAGCTCACTGTGGGTGGTGCCACCCTGGGTAGGCGGCCCTGAGCTGTATAAGAAAGCAGGACAGGGAAGAAAGCCACTAAGCAGCGTTCCTTTGTAATCTTCAGTTTCTGCCTTGGCTTCTCTCAGTGAGGAAATGTGATCTGACATGTAAGCTTTCCTCCCCAAGTTCCTTTTAGTCTGTGTTTTGTCACAGCAAAAGAAAGCTGAACTAAGACAATCCCTGAGCCCTGGGAGGAGAGGGTGCGATTTATCTTGCCTTAGACTTCTGCATGTTGGGATAGGAGGTGAGCACCACCACACATGACTCTTGATTTTTAAATTTTTTTTTGTAATGAAGGAAAGAATATCTACTTAATCAGATTATTTATCTTATTTTCCTCTCCTCCAAGATTTATTATATCTTGGCCACAGCAGATTAGACACAATTCTGTGCCACACACAGTGTTCTTAGCAAAATACAACTCCTTTAAATACCAACCACAAATAGGACAGAATTGGAAGAACATGAACAATAATGATGAATAGATTTGGGTGTTCCTGTGGGTTAAGGGATTAAAGCAAAGCTCTACCATTGAGCAACTCTGAACTACCACCAGTCCATTACAATCTTCAGCTTTACCAATTGTAGAAAAAAAGGCATTGGGGGTTAGATTGTAAAACTCTTGTGGCAGTTATTCACGAATAGCCACCGGCAAGTAGAAATTATACCATGTGAATTTCTGCATAATTGCAGGGCAGCTTCTTGTATCCAGTTTACAGCGTTCCTCATGGGTAGCTACAGCTAAGGGGGCTGAAGACTTGAGCCCTCAGTCCACAGGGATTCACATCCTCTGTGCTCCCTGTTATCT